ACCGCTGCTCCGGGCTGCCCGACGCACACCGAGCGTGCGGGTAACCCCTGTCCAGCCTGCGCTGCCGGCCATCACCCGCCGACTGGAGCCGAGCACAGCCCAGCTCACACTGCTGCTCCGTGACAAATGCCAAATAAAGAATAAACCCAGCTGGACTCGGGCTGGCTCCTTTGGGTGGAGGCTGAGGGCAGGGCTCGGGCCGGAGCAGGGGAACATCCGACACTGGGGGCTGCAGCCCCTGTGGGAGCCCGGGGCACGTGGCTCTTGCCTTGCCCCAGGTGGCCTTCACAGTAAAACAAAGGTTTTATTCAGCGAGGCTCAAGGTCAGCTTTTCAGTTAGTTTGGAGGTAAAAGACTGCCAGCAAACCAATAAAAAACCGAAATTCAATTACAGATGTGATGGCTGGCTGCTCAGCCACTCTGGCCAAGGACTTCCCCAGACCTGGGACTCTGGTCACAGCAATGCCCCTGCCATTGCCCCAGCAGCCCCAAATGCAGCGCACCAGCAGTGCGACGGTCCCTGCCGCTCCTGGAGTCCTTGGGGCAGAGCGTGGCCACAGCTCAAAAAGCCTTTGCTGTCACCTCAGGTAGCCTTTGCACACCTCGGATGGCTAAAGGTGGTTTCCCCTGCAATGAGACGTCACCCGTTCAGTCGTGAGTCCTTTCAAGGATGGGATGCTGCAGGTTCTTAGAGGTTCTTTCCCTCTGCTCTGGGGACAACCAGCCTGGACTGTCCCCATCAGTAAAACCCACATTTTGTTATGCTTATTGCTGGTATGAGACAGCTTTCTACGGGGATCACGCAAGATGTTACGTAGATAACAAGCTCAGTAACAACTGGCTTTGTTTTGATACCCTTGTGACAAACAATTGCCCTGTTCCCAAGAGCTTTTAGATGGGCTCCTGCTTGCAAAGCAGGGCAGATGCTGCCTCCGTCCACCTGCTGCCACTCACTGCTGGGGCATGACCAACGGTGTCGGTGCGAATCAATTCCTGTGTTCCAGCAGGAGCCGGAGCCTCCAGCTCAGAGCTTCTCTGCTTTAGGTGCGTTTCATTTGCTTCTACCTCTTCAGTGCTTCGGCTGCCTTGGAAGAAAAGAAATTGCAGCAAAAAGCCGTTCAGCGCTAGGACTGCAGGGAGTGAGTGGTGGGTTACAGGTCCGGTGTGCTGCTGGCTGCTGATCACCCCCCTGGCCCGGGGGACACCACCTGGGGAGGCACAGAAACAAGGCTGAGTCCCGCAGGGAGGGAGCAGAGCCCGAGGCAACGGGGCGATGGAGGCTGAGACCAGGTGGGGCTCAGGGGACAGAGCTGGGAACACGCACTCATGCGGACAGCAGAGAGCCAAAGCTCACCTTTGCCACCGCCGCTGCCACAATCCCCAGCAGGGCCAAGATGACCAGTCCCACTCAGCCCTTATTAAACCGCTTCAGGAGGAAGAACTTGGCCCAATCCACCTTCTTCTGGCTGCCAGGTGGGTACTGGAGTTTGGTCACAACCTCCATCTTCAGGTCCTCGATCAAGCAGGAGCGGCGGTGGGAGAAGGTCTGAAAGGTGTGCTTGCCATGGTAGGCGCCCATCCCGCTGTTACTTGAGGGACACAACCCAGGCAGGTCACGCCATGCACGGTGACAGCTGCGTTTCTTAAATTCTGTTTGGCAGCCCCCAGGGCACAGGGAGAGCTTGGTCACGGTGCTTCTCACACCTCGAGCAGCTGCTCTGCTCCCCAAGGGTGGAGAAGCAAAGAGCAGCTTTAATAACTACCCAGAAATAAGTGAGGACCTGCTCACTGCCTTGAACTGGTGCTCAGGCTGGTTGTGTGCACCCACCCTTGAAATGTTAACAGCACCAGCCCTCTCCTCCCCAGGGCCAGTCCTGCTTCTCCCACAAATTTACAGCAGGGTCGGGGGCAGGAGGAACAGGGACTATTATTTCAAGCAGTGGGACATAAAGAGGGTATTCAGCAACTTGCCATCAGAAACACCCAAGACCTCAGCCCTCCACCCACAGCCAGGTTGTCTCAGCCACAAAGCCATGAGCCTGACAGTGACCGTGGAAACTCAACCAGCCGCTTGGCCACAGGCAACTTCATCCCATGGCACTGGAGAACCGGAGCTGTGGAGAGATGTGTCAGAGGGTTTTCCTCTCCCACTGGCACCAACACTGCTCCGACCACTAAAGAGCCTTTTTGCAAAAGAATCCACCAGTCAAAATAATATTAATGGGAAAATGCAGCTGAAAGTTCCTGAATTATCCTGTGCTGCGGGGATACACTGGGTTGGGGTGACCCCACACACTCACCCCACAGGAGCTGTACCCTGTGGTCACCGCGGGAGCAGCCGAGATGACAGCACTGCTGACCCAGAGACACGGTCACATCCTCTACACCAGCATGGAGCAGCACCAGCCCGAGTTGAAGGCAGCTCTCGCCCGTCCAACAATCTGCTGCATCCTCTCCATGGCTGCTCAGCGCTGCGGGGAGAGAGCAGCAAGACCCACGATGGGGCCACCGAGGGCTGCTCAGGCTTGGGAACACCCAACATGGGGCCACCACCAAGAGATGTCCCACCCGGAGCAAGGCTGGGAGATGTTCTCCTCCTGCTCCCGAGGTGACTGCTCAGGGCTCCCACCCCGCAATGCCCCGTCCTACCTGCGCAGGGTCTGCCGACGGAGGGCACCTCTCAAGGCAACCCAGCATCTCTGGGGATGGCTGATAGATCCTGTTCTGCGGGTGCTTTCTCCTAGCTCGGGATACTCTTAAACCCACCAGCCACCCTTCCCTCCGCTCACAGGGATGCTCCTGAGGAGCCAAAACATGGAGATGACCGTGGTCTCGGTGGGCAGCCAGCTGGAAGCAGTGCTGCGTGCCCGGAGCCAGCCTGCACCAGTCTTCCCCATAACTGCGAGGCCCTCGCGTGGCATTGCAGAAACATGAGGAAAGGTTGCAGAGGTTTCATCCTGCTTCCCGCGAGCAGTCTTTCACTTTTTAGTCAGGACAAGAGATCTGCCTGCAGTTCCTGCCTAACCAAAGGAGACACTGAGGTTCCTTTGCAATCTTTAAAATCCGCCCTTCCCTGCCCGCCACCGCGTGCCGCAGTCCCGATCCTGACCAAGAAAGCAGATGACTCATTAAAAAACGAAGAAAAAAAGAAAGTTACCTTCAGAGAAGCTTCTCTCTCTAGCAGTCTCCCGCAGCGAGTGCAAGCAGGCTCAAGCCCTTCCCCTGACATGGTTCGGGAGCAATCTCTCCTCCCACAAGAGGACAGCTGGCCCGGGCTCAGGGCTCTCGCTAGATACAAGATGCCCTTTACCCAGATATATCCTCACGCTGTGAATATGCAAGCCTTGGATCGCCACGTTCAGCCGGGGCAGTGACTCAGCCGCCCGTGCGGGATTGCGAGAGACCACGTGGCTTTGCCCACGTTGGGTGCACGAGGCGGGGGGAGCGCTTTCACGTGCCGCAGCAGCCGTCGGGAGCCAGCGAACGCAGCCCGCGCTATCGTCCGGATCTGAACAAACCCCCAACAGACAACACCTGCCTGTGGGAGGCAATTAGGGGATGGATTAGCACAGGACAGGAGGAGAAACAGTCCAGCTCCTCCGCAGCTCCCAGCACCGCCTCGCCCCACGCCCTGCCAGCCTCCGGGCACTTCTTTGGCAGCCTGCCTGCGCTCCCCTGCCAGAGCTCCAGGGGATCTTTCCCCACGAGCGGGGAGGTGATCGCACTGGGGGCAGAGGCACCTCGCAACACACGTGTGACATTCAGCCAAACCACAGCCAGAGATGGGAGCAACAGAAGATGGGCAGGATTCCTCAGGAGACTGCAGCGACTTACCACGCTCGGTTTATTATTTAAATTCTCAGTGTTTATTTAGTACTTGCAAAATTAAAAGGCTTAGCACATGGATTTTCACCAGACATGAAGAAATCCTACCTATTGCACAGTAAATGTAATTTTCCACCCTATATTAATTGCATTTAATAATAATTTTTAAATTTTCCTTATTTAAACATCAGTATTTCTAAGATCCTTTCAACCTTACATTTCTCCAGCATCCTCTCCCCAAGCTATAACAAGCCCCATATTATCTCCCAGCACAAGATTATAGCAGACCCAGAAGCTAACACAAAGGAGTACACACTCAAGAACTTTCTAGGGAATTTGTTTTCCCTTAATGGGTTTGTACTGGTTTTGGCTGGAATGGAGTTAATTTTCGTTACAGTCACTAAATTTCTTCATAGTAGGATGGTGCTGTGTTTTGGATTTGTGACCAAAACAGTGTTGGTAACACACCCATGGTTTAGCTGTCGCTGAACAGTGCTTGCAGCGTCAAGGTCTCTCTTTCTCGCCGCCCTGCCAGTGAGCAGGCTGGAGTCGGCAAGAAGTGGGGAGGGGACAGGGCTGGGAGAGTTGACCCCAACTGACCAAAGGGATATTCCAGACCATATGACATTGTGCTCAGCAATAAAAGCTGGGGGGGAAAGAAGTGGGGGGGAGGACACTGGGAGTTATGGTGTCTGTCTTCCCAAGTCACCGTTACATGTGATGAAGCCCTGCTTTCCTGGGGATGGCTGAACATCTGCCTGCCGATGGGAAGTGGTGAATTAATTCCTTAATTTGCTTGCTTGCACATTCAGCTTTCACTTTACCTATTAAACTTTATCTCAACCTACAAGCTTTCTCACTTTTACCCTTCCGATTTTCTTCCTCATCCTACTGGGGGAGTGAGTGAGCGGCTGTGTAGGGCTTGGGTACCCACCTGGGCTAACCCACAACAGGGTACTTTGTGATTCCCACTTTTCTAAACAGGTCTGGAAGTTCTTTTGTATGAGCATAAGACACTCTTATCAGCAAAATATAGGCAGTGCAGGTATCATCTTTGTAATTTTCTAACTGCCAAATAATTGTTACAGGCACACAATGAAACCCAGAGCCCCAAAAAGGGTGTCAGCCTGCATCACCTGACCAGCTGTGGACGATTCTAGCTTGTAGGGATCCATGAATATTTCACCTCAATTAAAGTGGGAACCTCACTAGATTTATTCATAACCATCACTATTGGTAAAAAGCATCAGCCAGCCCAGCCTGTCTCAGACTCGTCACCAAGAGAGTGGTTGTTCAGAGCACAACAGAAGACAGACCATCCCAAAAACTGCAGGGAAAACACTGTCAACCCAATCACAGCTGAAATTTAAGCTCCTGTTTGTCACTGAAGGAAGGTTAAGTAGTTTGGTGCAAGGCACAGTGTGTGTGTCCCTGGAAGCAGTGCTCTGCACGGCATGGGGTGCAGGTAGGGACTTGTATTTCTCACTCTGCATCCTCCTTTTGAAAGCTTGTACCCACTGGTCCCATGTTTCAGCATGGCTTTTTAGTAAACAGGAGTCCAAGCCTTCTCTTGGTTAGTGCCTCTCTAAGGCTACTCTGTGTGCTCGACAGCTCACTGAAATAACCCAGTACAAAAGAAAAAAATTACTTCTCGGCTTAAGGAAACAGACACAAAGCGAGCACTCAAGAGTATGACTTGCACATGGCGCCTTCTCCTCTCTTCAGTAGTTAACCACCTGTGAAAGTAAAACACAACACCAGTGTCCTGTGAAGGATTTGCTGAAACAAAACCAACTCCCTTGCTAGAACAGCCTGAAGCAAAGCCCCTGCAGTCAGGGTGACTTCCCCAGGGTCCAGCTCTCCTGCCTCCTGCCCCCTCAGCATGCACTGACTGCTGGTTATCTTGGACGCTGTACGAGCTCTGAGCGCTGCCAGGGAAAGCATTGCTCTCTGGCTCCAGGGGGAACCTTCTGCAAGCCCCGCATTCACTACTCTAACAAGGCTTTGCCTAATCTCAAATCAGGTCTACACACAGGAGAAGAAAAAGGCTCCTACCTCACTGTGACAGCCACAGCAGTGCTCTGAAGCCTGCTCCTCCTTACCACACACTGAGCCAGCCCAGCCTCTGAACAGCCAGCACAATCAAGAGAGCTTTTCTCTTCAGCAGAGACTGGTGATTCTGAGAAAACCCAAATTATTTCAAGATGCCGTGAGTTTCCCCCTCTTCGCTGAGAAGGCATTCACCTAGACAGGGCCTGCCTCCCTGGCTGGTGCTTCAAGGCCTGAGCCAGTCGTTGGCTCTTACACCTCCTCCTAGACTCAGATATGCAGGCGGGTTATTTCCCCCCGCTTGTTGGGCTCCTGCAGGTCTCCTTGCAGCAGAAACAACACAGAAGAGACTGAAGGGCAGAGTCCTAATCCACCCTGCCATCTCCTCTCCTCTCCCCTCGGTGGCTGCTCCCTTAAGCCTACTAAACCTCCAGGACGCACAGCTGAGCTTTGCAAGGAGCAGTCAGTGCAGGCCCACATAGTGCCTGGTCCGCCAGCCACAGAGAACCACCAGCGATCACACTTGGAGTGATGCCTCCACCTCAGGAGGCATCTCGAGTCCTCCAGCCAGCACCAGCAGGCTTCTTGCCTCCTGCAGAGAGGGGAGGACATCCCACCTTTCCACACTACCCAGCTGGAAACAGGGGAGGAAATGGAAATAACTGAGCTAAGGTCAGATGGGGGCTGCAACTGAGCGAGGAACGAGAGCTCATTGTAGCCCTAGGCTTTAGGACACAGCCTCCCTTCCCCAAGGCCCTGCGGCACAAAATCACAGCTGGCTGGGCTAGGCTGCGGAGCAGCTCACAACGCCGCTGAAGAAAGCCCGGGAATCAAAATCACTCTAAAGAGGACCTGTCCAAAACATAACAATCTCTGCCTCTGGAGGGAGCTTCTCATGGGTGTCACCGACCAAGGCAGAGCAACAAATAGTACAGCAGCCTAGGAGATTTCTCTGAGGACAGTTCTATTCTAGATAGCACTTGCAAGAGTGAGCAGATCTTGATAATTTCAGGTGGGACCGATATCATAAGTCTCAAGACAGAAAAAACAGGCTCTAAGAAAGGACTGCAGTTGCAAAGAGGGAACTTGCAGAAGATCAGATGAATTGCACATGCACTCAGTAGACGGCAAAGAGCCAAAGCTCACCTTTATCAGCACCGCTGCCACAATCCCCAGCAGGGCCAAGATGACCAGTCCAATCTGGCCCTTGTTAAACCGCTTCAGGAGGAAGAACTTGGCCCAATCCACCTTCTTCTGGCTGCCAGGTGGGTACCGGAGTTTGTTCGCACCTTCCATCTTCAGGTCCTTGATCAAGCAGGAGCGGCGGTGGGAGAAGGTCTCAAAGGTGTGCTTGCCATGGTAGGCGCCCACCCCGCTGTTACCTGAGGGACACAACCCAGGCAGGTCACACCACAGGCTCAGCCAGTCAAACCTTTGGCCACTTGAGGCCACCAGCAGGGCAAGAAGCAGCACAGGAAAATTCCAGTTGCTTGCCAGCTGCAGCGCATGTTACCTACCCTGCATTGGCCTTGCTGCAGTTTAAAAGCACAACTTCTCCTCTATATTTCTTCAGAGAGGACAACTGTTCCTTCCTTTCTGCAGCACTTCTCAGTCTTTAAGATGTCCATCTGTACTCCATCCCTCTTCTTCCCCACCCCGATTTCACTACATATTCTCCAGTACTTCGCTGTATCCCTGCGTGCGCTGTTCCCTGTGCCCCTGAGCTGTCTCCAGCTCTTCCCTGGATTTAGCTCCCTCTCAAAGCACCATGCCAAGGCTCTGAGATCCGACCAGTGCTGTGTGAGAAGGGTTTCCTGAGGGGCCCTGCAGGGTACACCTTTGTTTTCTAATTCCAGGGCAGCACGTGCCTTTCGCAGCGGCAGAACACTGCTGGTTCACAGTCAGATTGGGAGGACTGTAACACCAGAACCCTCTTTGGCAAAGCTCCTGTGGGCTGTTCCGTAACCTGTTCCAGTTCTCCCCAAGCTGAAATCCTACCCTTCCTCCTGCAATTACTGCCAATCGCTCCGATCGCAGCTAATGTTTTTAACGCACCTTTCACATCAGTCTGCACTAAATGCTTCAATCTTCCCAAAAACACACCTAAAGGTTTTTCTCTTTTGGCCCCTTTCCTAATGTACTCCCAGAATTTATTATTGAAATCTGCCATACAGAGACCCTTCGGCCGTAACAGGCGCAGGGGTACTTGGACACAAACCAACTGCTGCTGTTCTCTGGGTCACACCGAGCATCAAGTCACAACACTTAAGGAGCTCCAGTAACTTACCAACACCACCAAAGGGTAAGGTTGAGAGGAAAAAATGCATGATAACGTCATTTCCAGTGACACCCCCACTGGAGGTTTCTGAGATGACTCTTTTGATTAACTGACAAAAGAAAAAAAACAAAAACAAACAGAACATTACAAATGCCCAGAAGAGACCAGACCATGTAACCGAGCAGGACTGCGAGGGGAGCTATGAGCCAACAGGCCACCGTGTTAATTCCCTCTGCCTGACAACTGACAAGCCCTCTCCATGCAACGTTAACCCAAAGAACGTGGGAAAGTTCAGAGGAGGGATGTGAAAGCTGGAAATCTGGGAGCTTGCCTCCCTAGCAATATATTAAAAGTAACTAAATTAATCATGAAAGACTACAAGGCACCAAAGAGAAAACGCAGCCTTTCATGCTTCTATTTCACAGTCATGCAAACGCAAAGCACTTCAGCAGGGGACTGGGAGCCTCCAGCTACTCTGGGGACACTCGTGGTCCCCCGTGAGGCAAACACTGCAATTCACAAGCAAAGAGGAGCTGACACAGGCCCTGTGGGGAGTTGGGACTGGGACTGGACACGTTCAGTACGAACTGCCTCCGTGGGGGAGCATGGCCCAGACCCACCTTCTTGTTGTTTGAGAAGACATACAGGGCAAGGGGCTTCTCCCGATGGTTGATGAACTCAATGGCTTCGTCCACGCTCCTCACAGTCAGAATGGGGAGGACTGGTCCAAAGATTTCCTCCTCCATCACCTTTGACTCCGGAGAAACATCAGTGAGGACAGTTGGTGCTGAGGCAGACAGGACAGCAGGAGATGGTGTGAGCAGGAGAGAGGACGTGGCCAATCACAGGATCTCGTCCTGGGCACTGCCAGCGTGCAACACACACCAAGCAAGCACAGACACACACAGAGCTCCCAAAAGACACCCACTACCAGCAAAAGGTCCCACCCTCCACCTCCCCAACACCTGCCAGAAGCACCTATGAAGCAGGAGGCCTCATCAGTCTCTCCCCCGTAAGCGATCTTCTGCCCTTCCAGCAGGCCCAGGATCCTCTTGAAGTGACGCCTGTTGATGATCCTTTCATAATCTGGAGATGACTTCACATCTTCCCCATAGAATTCCTGCCAAAGGGCACAGCAGAACCAAAGCGCTCGACAAACCTTCACAACAGCCACAGCTCCAGGGCTGCAGCTACAAAACTCAGACCTGGGCTGTAACGGGGACAACTCCCACAGCACGAGGAACTCCACGCTCACCTGCAGAGTCGCCTTAATGTTCTCCACCACCTTGCTCTGGATGGACGGGTCGCAGAGGACGTAGTCCGGGGCGATGCAGGTTTGCCCACAGTTCATGTACTTCCCCCACGTTATCCGCCTACGGGAGAAAGAGAGATGGTTTCTCTACGGTCAGTCCCTTCCAGCCCCAACAGCCTGACCGACAACACCTGAGCGACACCCGCAGCCTGGGGACAATGGCCCACCGAGGGCTTGCAACAGCCTGACCTGCAGGCGACAGCCAGGTCACAGTCCTTGTCGATGTAGCAGGGGCTCTTCCCGCCCAGCTCCAGGGTGACGGGCGTCAGGTGCTTGGCAGCTGCTGCCATCACGATTTTGCCCACAGCGGAGTTGCCAGTATAAAGGATGTGATCAAATCTCTGCTTCAGCAGCTCTGTTGTCTCAGGTACTCCTCCAGTGACCACGGGGTACAGCTCCTGCAGGGCAAACAAGAGCCTTACAGTTACCTAGATTTAAAGCAAATATATCAAGGGAGCAGCTCTGCATGGGGCAGACTCACTTGTGAGCTACGTTAGGATCTGGACAAAGGATAGCGAGAACAGAGACAAGCTCTGCTCCTTCCCCTGAAATGAAGTTTCACTTGCCGTTTTGTGCCACATGAACTGAAAGAAATGGAGGTTGAGTCCAGGGTTGAGTCAGGCTGTGGACCTACTCCCACACATTAAGACCAACGGCACATACGACTGCCGGGCTCTCCCGAGGACTGTCTCCTTCCTCAGCTCTCATCCCTTGCCTAGAGAAAGCACTAACTCCCTGGAGGAAACCGCAGAGTAGGGCCCTGCTGTCAGAGCAACAGCCTCAGCGACACAGCACAACACGTGTCAGAACTGCCAGACAAATGGAGGAGAAACAACACCTCCCGCTAAGAGTGTGGTTCAGCCGGACGTGAAAACCCGGGATGTACTGCCACTGAGCAAATGGCGCCCAATTCTCGGGAAGAGCCAGGCACAGCCAACACCCAGCGCAAATTTGTGCTTACCTAGAGGCAACCCCAGCACAGTGTCCAAGAGAGCAATTATTGCAGCAGGAAGTACGTACACACCTCTTTACACGGTCATGAATGTCAAAAAGGCTGTCATGTTGCAGCAATGTTATGTAGGCACATGAGGTTACACAAACACAGGAAGAATGTGTCAACATGTCTCTGTACTTTAAGAGTAATTCAACCCTTCCTGTATCTCCTGCTTACACTCCTTTGGTGAGAGTGAGTAACTGATTTGACTCTAACCTGCAGGAGCCCTTCGAAAGCATGACAGATACTTCCTCAAGACAATCACGTCAGGCATGGGACCACACTCACCCGGTCAATGTACTGGGGAAGGAGATCAGCCACCAGCTGAGCCACGTTCTCGCTCATCTCCGACGGCTTCACCACCACCGCATTGCCTACAAGACAAACCCAGCACGGCCACTGAGCCCTCGTGCTCCTCTCCCGCCTCCCACAGCACCTGCCCACGGCCCCACGAAGGACAGGGGCTGCGGCGGGTCCCCACCTGCTGCAATGGCCCCGATCAAAGGCTGCATGACCAGGACGAAGGGGTAGTTCCAGGCCCCGATGATCAGCACCACCCCCAGCGGCTCGCGACAGATGTAGGCCTCGTCCCGCATCGTCAGCAGGTTCTTCTCCACAGGCTGAGGGGCAGCCCACGATGGCAGCTTGTCCATGGCCAGGGCCAGCTCCCTCAGCACGGTCAGGATCTCATGGCTGTACGCATTGACCCCACTCTGCAATGACAGAGAGCTTGGGGAGGGGATGGCAAAGGCACCCGCTGCGGCAGCCCAGCCAAGCAAGGTAAATTCTGCTGGCTCAAAGTGTCTGCCAGGGCAGTTACTGGTAGTGCTGCCCCCAAGGATCCCTGACAGAAGACAGTCAGTCTGGATGCGTGGGGCTCAACGTGCAGCAGAAGCCGAAACCTGACAGCCAGGACCTGCCTTTGCAGTCCTGCCTCAGACTAGCTCCTTCTTAGAAATGGTGGCAGCAGACCTTGGCAGGCCACAGTGAGAACTAGGACCATGGCGAACATCAGCAAAAGCCATCCAGCACAGTAAAGGCAGCCCTTGGCCTCCCCACTTTCCCTTCCAGGCTGACCACTGCCCATGCACAGCAGAAGGGAGAAACCCCCCGACCCAGACCTTGTGCAGATCCGCCTTGATGGCTGCCAGGATGTCCTTCTCTTTCTCCCGCACCATCCGCTCCACGGCCTTCAGCTGCTGCATCCTGAACTCCAGCGAGCGGCACCGGCCCGAGTTGAAGGCGGCTCTCGCCCGTCCAACGATCTGCTGCATCTTCTCCATGGCTGCTCAGCGCTGCGGGGAGAGGGCAGCAAGACCCAGCTCACGACGGGGCCTCCCTCTCACAGATGGAAGCTGAGTTTTCCCACAAGCACTGGACACACTCCCACCTCCCCAGCTCGAGGGCCAAT